TATTGTAATGCACTACCCATCCAAAAGACATAAGCAAGCTTTCTCCTGCAAAAAAAAACTGAATACTGTATTATATCTGTAAAAACTATTTTTTTCAGAAAGTGTTACATTGATTTTCATAAATTCGATTTGAGGTTTTTTTTTTCCCACTAAAATGTGCCTTAATGGATCATTGAAACACTCAGCTTTTTCTTATAAAAGGTGGAACAGAACTGTACTCATTTTCTAGAGTGAAACACTACAATATAAAGTTTGTGAAAGCACACAAGAGCCCTTAAGGCCAACTCTGTATGCAGGCTGCTGATAAACTTTAAAAGTCTTCCACGTACAACAATATTTATTTACAGTTTGATGTACAATCTCATATGCAAAAGTATTCTTTTTTCCTCTTGGGAAAAGGATGAGAAGAAGCACACATCTCTTACTCTTCTTAGGAAAACTTGTAATAGGCTGTACAAACCCTCAAAGTCATTCTCACCTGGCTAATTCAAAATTGATCCCAGCTGGAGGTGAGGGGTTGTCTTTCTACAGGTGGAGACTATTAAAGAACCTTTTCTGGGAACAGAGGGTTCAGCAATTTCCTGTGATACAGCAGGAGAGGATATAAAACCTCTCTGTTTATAGGTGTGTGCGTGTGTGTGCGTGTGTGCGTGTGTGCGTGTGTGCGCGTGTGCGCGTGTGTGCGTGTGTGCGTGTGTGCGTGTGTGCGTGTGTGCGTGTGTGCGTGTGTGCGCGTGTGTGCGCGTGTGCGCGTGTGTGCGTGTGTGCGCGCGTGTGCGTGCGTGTGCGTGTGTGCGTGTGTGCGTGTGTGCGTGTGTGCGCGTGTGCGCGTGTGCGCGTGTGCGCGTGTGCGCGTGCGTGCGCGCGCGTGCGTGCGTGCGTGCGTGCGTGTGTGTGTGTGTGTGTGTGGTGAAGAGAATATAAGTTCTGAAGCTCTTGTGCAACTGGTGGGTCATGGGATTTTATTGCTGGGTTTGGTAGAATATGGGTCTGGGCCTTGATAACCTGGGAAAGATACTTTGTCTCTATAATGGTAGCTTTGTTGGCTTTTTTTTTTTTTTTTAATTTTTATTGGTGGAGATTCACCATTGTAAGGTAAAGTGATCAGCATTACTCCCAAGGAAGTATAACCTTAGATTTTGATGCTACAAATATTCAACACTTAAGTACTGGCTGTTTTGTTTTGACATGGTATCTATAATGCTATTAAGTATTACTGTGCCCCTTAACCAGAATGACAGCTGTTAAACCTACAATCTACCTGGTTCTTGGCTGTAGAAAGGGTAGATTCTGCAGAACACCTGGAATCACGTCCAGTCAGGGACTGACTTTGGTAGTACTGGAGGCTGTAGTTCTATAGCTTGCTGCAGTATCAGTAGTACTGAGCTCCCAGAAATGCTATGTCAAGTGACGCTCTAGAGGCAGCATTGGTGTTACCGGATGAAGTGTTTGTGCCTTGGCTTATACCAGAATCCTAATACAGAATTCTACACCCTTTGCAAAGCTGATTTGTTAAGACTCTCTTTCATGTGCAGGCTTTGAGACTCATAGAAGAATTCAACCTTGTATTGAAGAGGTTGGTATCAAGGACTGAGATCATGAAGTCCTGAAATCAGAACATGATAATACTGCTTTCTAGAATAATCTGTGTAGTTTGCTGAGCATGTATGGGTTTAGCACAGTTCATCTTCTTCTACAGAAGATAGTCTTGTGGAATTCTGCAGAACAAGAGAATATCAGTAAAAAAATAAATGCATCCTTGCATTAAACTTTTCCTTAGTTTTATCTGTTTTTTTTTGTTTGTTTTTTGTTTGTTTGGGTTTTCTGTTTGTTTGTTTTTGTTTTGTTATTTTTTTGTTGTGGGTTTTTTGTGTTTTGTTTTTTTTTTTTTTGCCAAAGAGAATTTATGGTCACCTCTCTTAAATATCTTAGTAGCTATGACAAAACAGAATATGTAGAAATAAGCAAGTTTACACAACATGGTTCTACTGGAATGCTTTGTACTTACCACGAGCAAAAAGTTGTTTTTTGGACCTTACTGGGTATTACTGCATGTCTTCATTGGGATTTTCACATATGACCTCTTAATGAATATTCAGTAAGACATTACTCGGGCATCAGTGACTAGACCTGCAGAAATGCATATAGAGCAACATAAAATATATTCCCTGTATTGCACTGCGGCTTCAAAATGGAGAGCTCTTTTTTTTAAAAGCATGCATTTACAAATATTACTCTTAAACAAAGCCTGTAGACAGTGGCATACAAGAGGGAAGAGATCAGTAGCATCTCAGCAGGAAAATTCTGTTCCTAAAGTTTAATAATGAGCACCAGGTAGCTAGAACTGGGCAGTGAAGTTGTGAAATGGTGTTTGGGGCTCTGTGCATCATTGTTAACATGTTTCGGAATGCAGTATCAGGTTTGAGCAAGAAATAAACCTTGAGGTAACCCATGTGTACCTGCCGTTGCAGCTCTGTAACTCTACAGATGCTGCTTTGTGAAAACAGACTTGGGTAAGGGACAGTGAAGATGCAGAAGGTGAACTATGTGTTACCTGGGGGTTTTGGTTGTTTGTTTTTTTTGTTTGTTTTTTTTTTGGGGGGGGGGGCGGGTTGGACTAAATTGGCTCGCCATCTCTAACAAAGCTAAACAAAAGTTCTAGCATTTATCCTAGAGACCTTGCTCTTAGATTTATAGTCTACAAGAAAGAGAGGAGGGTAGGCATCCCACACACATAGGGAGGAATACATTGAAAAAACTGAACAGTAATGAAATGGTTCTGCAGGTGGATGAGGCGGCTAATCTAGAAAAGTTGCACGAATACCCTCTCTTGCAGATGTAAAATGAGCCCCTGTCCCAGAGCTGTCTAATAGCATGGGCAATACATGGTGTAGCAGAGGAGTGAGACCTTCGCTGGACTGGACGTTTCCCCTTCACAGCACTGCGCTGCCAAATCCTGTCAGACCTGTCTGTGTAAAACGCAGGAGGAACAGCCCCTCGGGTAACAGCATCTCTTACCTTTATTCAGTTTCTTCCCCCACTGCAGACTGTGTACGCAAGTTAAATTCACCTGCTGTGGGAATGTTTTGGATTAACTTTCCATTCCAGTTCTGCTAGTAAGAAAGTTCATTCGGTTACAGAAACCTTGTAAGTTTCATTTTAGTGGCTGAACTGTCCAAGCCTACTTACCTCACCATTTCCTCCTTCAGGAACAAACGTATCTGCAGGACCAGGGCATCAGGCTGCTGTGAACTTCTGCTCGGGGAGCCCGGAGCAGCTCTTGTACCACACAAAGGCGGGGACCAGAGCGAGCCTTCCAAGGAGGGCGATCGCGAGCCTGTCCCGGTACCCTCCGCAGGACGGGGAGGCCTGTGCCTTCCTCAGAGCCCCTGAGGGGGGGCTTCGCTCCCGTCTCCCGGGCCCTTCCTCCTCACGGCTCCCAGAAGCGCCTCTAAGAGCCTCCTCTGCCCGCCGGCTGCGGCCCCGCTCACTCGCTCGTCCAGCGCAGGCAGCCCCCAGCGCGGAGCAGGTGGGTGGTCCCTGCTAAGTGATGGGGCCCCCGGCGGGAGAGCGCGGAGCCAGGGGCGGGCTGCGGCGCCGGGGCCCCCTCTCTCGGGACTGGCTTCGGCGGGGGAGCGGGTGGAACTTCCCAGGGGAATGCACCCTTTTGGCCTCTGTCAAAGTTGTGTCAGAGCGACTTCGTGCCGTTTCGAAACCGGCCACAGCGACAGCGGGACGAAGTCCGCAGCCTCCCGCACCCTGCCGCTCCCTCACGCAGAAACAGGGCTCCTCCAGGAGATGCCGGAGCGAGGGAAGCGGGGCAGCTGAGGCGGCCTCCCGACCATTCCCGGGAAGGCTTTCGCTTTTTCACTCAGCCCATCAGTGGGGTAGACAAAAGCATTAGCTTTCCTTAAACTAGGTCGCCTCGGCTGCAACAGCCATTTTCCAACGGCAGTGCTGGGAGATGTGGGGTGGTGGAGGTGAAGCGGAGAGCAGCGGGAAAGGTCCTGTGAGGAGGCGTCCCGCGAGCTGGTGTGTGCTGTGTTCGTGCGTGCACACAGTGTTCAAGGGCTGCGCTTGTAAATTGAGCTGGAATTGGCAATTCAAGGCTTTAATGGTGACCCTGAACTGTGTGATGTGTATTTCCGAATAGGTTAGGTTGGAAGTGAGCTAGTAGTGAAATGAATTGCCCCACCACCCCAGTGTGTGTTACCTGACTCATTACCTCAGCAATGACCACTAGCTGTTTGTAGCAGTCATCATGTGTAAGTGTGCAATCAACAGTAGTTTTCAACAGTATCCCACTGGGTAGCAAAAAAATACTAGGAATACTACAGGGCCGTTGCCACTTCCATACAACTTTTCTGCTGGCTTTTTTCTCAGTGTCTTCAGTATGTCCTGCTTCTGTGCAAGTTCATTGTAGGCTAAACTGCATTAAAACATAGTGATGAGAAGATCCCATAACATTTACTGGGAAATGGCCAAGGATTGGGTGTGTGCAGAGTCAATGCTACTGTGTTACTGTGAAAGTTGGTCAAAGAGCTCTCTTAAGACTCAATTTGGGGTTTTAGAAAGCAGACAGCCTTTATTTCAGCACTGGACATAGAGGGGATTGCTCCACCTCATGTGTGCATGATGGTTTAACTATGGAGGTTTTTTATTTGGGTAAAACATAAATATGCATTAGTTTTCCAAGAAACCATTAATATATTCATAATTTTCTTAGAACTCATTATTCTATGTAAATGCTTGTTTATACACATGTGCACACAGTCTCTTAGGTGGTTGTTGGGGGTCCTCTGGTGGTCTTCAATAGTCTTCCTCACTGTGTCTGCTAGATGAACTCTGGTTTTGTGCATGCCCTGCTGTTCTCTGGCTGTTGTCCATGACTATGTTTCTCAAAACTTGCTCATTCAAACATTTTGGTCTACTTTTGTTGCTGTTTCAAGGGCATAGTGTCACATGACTTCCTTTTACCTTGTCCGGACAGGATGAGTTTACTTTATCAGGGTATCTAGACTTCTCCAAGGTAGGTATCAACTGCTCTTGAGGGCTTTTGGAGAACGAACCCAAGAGTCTTGTCTCATTCAGAATACTCATGATAGAATACGGATGATACGATGAAGACTAATCAAGATTGTCATAACTTGCACTCTCTCCTGACATTTTGTAATGACAGTAGTCTCTTGCTACAGTATCTTCACTATTGCTCACAGGTGTTGATTATTTTCCCAAGTCCTTCCTTATCTCCCTGCTTGGAATGTACTGGATGACTAATAATTCTCTGGGATAACTGCTTGTAATGCTTTTTGTTCTTAGATAAGCAGAGAATAGTGGACAGTCTCTGGGTGGTTGATTATTCATACTCAGGCACCAAACTGAACCTCTGAATAATTATTCATTAATGGAAAAGACTAATTGTCTCCTGTGGAACTAAATGCATAGTTAATATAAGTGGTTTGTAATTTTTGTAGTGATTAAGAATACTTGAAATCAAGTTGATAGGGGTTTGCAGTATTTGAATATTTTCATACACCTTCAATACTTTAATTCAGTAAGCAAATAAGTCTATAGAAAATGTGTTCAATATGTGTAAGAAAGTAAAAAGTATATAAATATTAATTAAATACACACATTTAAGAACTATTCTATTTCTTTTCTTTTGAGTGAACAGTGAGGTTTTGATTTCTGGTTGTATAGCACCTGCTGCAGTGGAGTCATAGTCCTGGTCCCTTGCTAGAGCTTTTAAGCACTCTGATGACACTAATAAGAATCAATTTCCCTATGAGGGGAAAAAAAGAAAGTTAATTTGCTGATTTCTTCAATTTCAGTGAGTTCTGCCCATAAGATGTGGCTGAAGCAAGACCTAAAAAGGTAACCTGAATTACTTGTGTGCAACCCTGACCCTCACATGGAAAAAAAACTCCCAAGTACCAGTCTCCAGAGCTGATGATTATAATCTTATGGCAACTGGTGTTTTTGTTTTTGTGTTAGAAGTGTAAGAGCAGGATGGATTCTGCTATATGCATTACTACAGTTGATTCATGCTACATTAAAACTCTTGGAAAGACAATAGACCAATACACAAATTAGCACAAAGATCAGTGAATTTTTACTATCTATGTTGTTTGTGTTGCAGTATGTTTAAATTGTGGCTTTGTGAAAGCAGAGCCCTTAAAGTTGTGTCAGGCCATAATTTGTAAAGCCATAATTTGTAAGGCCATAATTTGTTTATATATTAATGCCTGGGTAGGTCAATCATAGGAATATCAAAGGTACTAATGACTATAATGTTATGTTCACATAGAAATGACCTATCAGCTCTGGACTCTACTATCCGATGGGCAGAAAATTGATTTTCTAAAAGGCCTTTTCAGTTTAATTATTAAAATCATCCTCAAAGTTTGAAATAATTGTGAAGGAGGAGATGTATAATACAACTTTGTCTCAGGATGATAGAGCTTCTTCCCTACAGATTTATCATCTTGTTTTGGCAGTCACTGATGTGTACTTTCTCCTAAACTTCTTTAGAGGTTGATGGCAAGATGTCCTGTGCTGAAATTTTAAATGTTTGACTAGGAAAAAAGCACAAAAAGCATCTGTGATTGAGGTTATAATTCAAAGACCAAAGGAAAAATGAATTATCATGTAAAGGGCATAAATCATTGGTGTTATGCCCTAGGGGAAAAAAAGAAAGTTAATTATTAGAGACACTGTAAATACAGTCACAACAGGAAGAAGTGAGTAAATAGAAAGTGAGTACACATTTCTCAGGAACAGAACAATACAGAAAACCAGAAAAGAACCAAAACCACTGATGAAGAGTAATGGATGGGTCCACGTTGTAGAGTTCTGTGGTCCTAATTCTTTAAAATGGGTTAGCAGAGATCAGGATTATCTTCAGTGACAGAAACTTAAAAGCACACCATTATCTTTTTTGAAGCTACAAACTACAGAAGCTCTGACTGAAGTAGACAAGAAACAAATTCAAAGTGAATTTGCTGCATCATCTATCTGGATACCCTAGGTTTAGTGACACTTCCGGATTTTCTATAAACTAACCTGTTTCAGTTTTGCTGCATTGTCTATTACAATGTATTCTTAGAAGAATACCTTGTAAGTATTCTTGCAGCTAATACTAACAATTTACACTAATTTCTACGCCAGTTTGTACAAGAATGAGTAATTTGAGAGGACTATAAAATAGAATTGATTTTTGAATATTCCAGTTCTGTTTAGCAGAGCACCAAGTGTCATGACCATCTGTCACTGTATAAATGTGCAAAGCAGCAGTCCTATGTAAGCCCTCAAAGAAGCGTTAGAATTGAAGCTGATGCTTTTCAGTTGCTGTGTTTTTAAGCCTTGCTAGTGGAAGGTCAGTGTGAGTAAATGCTTTCTAGAGATTAATTCAGAATCTGTCACCTTAAGGGGAAAAAAAAAAAATCATGAGCTGCTGTTGAAAGTCATCATAATAATGTTTATTCTTACCTTTTCAAGGGAAGCAAATGGTAATTAAAAATCCTGCCACTTTTTTCTGGTATTTCTTCTTATTGAAACTTTCCTTCTTATCTGCAAGGAAAAATTTCATGTAGGAAAACCAAAGTCCACAAAGTTTTGCCTGTTGATGCCTGGCTGTTCAAATGAAGATGAAAATTCCACAGTTCACTCTTAGTAGAAATGAATTTAAATATTTTTGTGGTAGTCTTTTTCACCCCTTCAGTCTTAATTTTTCCACTTGAATATGATGTTTGCTGTATTGAGGTTATAAGGTCTAATTGGAAAGAAAACGGACTATTCTAGAAGTGCAATGCATTCTTTCTATGTGTGGTGTTTTCTTACATCTTTTCAATAAATGGTTGTATGCACTCTAGAGATTTTCATGTTTGAGTATTTTTGAAGCATCTTGATAACAACAGGGATTAAAAAAGCCTTTGAAATGAACTGTGTAGTACAGCACAGTAGATCATATTTAAGTATTAAAATCAGTTACAGTGTTCAAAACACTTCGAAAGTTTAAACTCTTAGTTTCACTCTACAGCCTACCAGCCATATAATTGAAAGTATGCAGCAGTTATGGTTAGGGTGGTTAGAAATAGTTATCAGAATCAGCTGCCCAAATAGCCATTCCCTCATGAAGGAATTGTCTGCTGGGACTCTAGGAGTTTGCCCACAGCTCATCAGTATTCCTTCTTTCTGATTCTTGGTGACTTCTCTTTTGATGAGATGGTAGCTTCAAGAAGGTTTATGAAGCAGCAGAGCAGTTTCAGCAGTTAAGCGCATTCCTGTAGCACAAAATTCTGGCTGTGGTCACTCTTGAACAGGACAAAAATGGAGTTTCCCACTTCACCTCAAGGGCTCCTCCTGCAGGCGTGCAGGGTTGCAGGGGTTTGTTGGCTATTTGTGCAACTCAGGGAAGCTGTCTTACCCTTGGCTGCTCAGGATCACTCATTCTGTCCTTAGCTCAGAGAACTATCATCTGATCTTTTCTGTCACTTTGTTCCATTACTCTAATCTGGATCTTTTCAGAGGTTTTTGGTTGGTTTGTTTTATTTTAACTGGGTCTTTATTATTCCCTTCAATTGGCATTTTCTAGAACTGCCCTGTTTAGATCTTCCAAACTAGCATGGAGATAGGGCTTCCATCTTGTTGAGTCAGTCCTACTTGCAAGCATACAACAAAAAGGCACTCATCTCTCTTCAGCCATGTTGACAGTAGAGGAAAAAGAAATCAATTTTTAATAAGGCATTCTGTAAGAAATTTGTGTGGCATATGGCCTTGTGTGATTGGAATAAGTATAATGATGAAAGCTACAATTAGATATTAGGTATATGTGTGTACATGCAAAGCCTGTACATAGTTAATGTGCTGTTGACCTGATCATAAAAAAATTAAGCTTTTGTGCCTAATTATTTGAATCTTGCCACTTGACACACCGATCATATATAGTATGGACCTATGTTACTGGTCATTCATAGGTTCCTACTACTCAGTGGCTCAAATAGGGGTACAGTGGAAAACTTGAGCTTGGGGTTTGTTTCTATATACCTTTGAGCTCTTCAGTCTTGATCAAGTCTCCCTTTGAGAAAGTTGCTCAATGCCTTGACCTCAATTCTGCATTTGTACTTGGGCCTTAAATGTTAATGAATATGTTCCCTAAGCTGTTTTCAGTAAACTGCTCAAATACTGTTGTAGTGATTGTGTAAACTTCAAAATAAATAGCATCCTTTTATTTCAGTGCAGTTAATACCATTTTTTTCTCCATTGTTGTCACAAAATGGATAATAATCACTCTCACAAAGTGCAGTTAATGGTTGGTTTTGTCATCTATTAAATCTCAGAAGTGGTTATACTGCCTATTTATTTAGACCCCTTTAAAATCCCTTATGATGAAAAGTACATGTAGACATAAAATACAACAGTATTCTTACCTTCATTTTGTATTGTAACCTCCTTTTAAAGAGACACTCAAAATTTCATGTTGGCACATTTCATTAAATGCATTATGGATAACTTTGGCTCCCAAGAGTATGTTTGTGTCCTTGAATTTGCATTTAAATTGAGAACAGAAGTTGATGTTTCACATTTTTGCTTAATATTTGTAGGAATAGCTGCATGTAAAAACAAGTGTCACTGCCAGTCGCTGTGCAATTCAAGACATGCATTCTAATAGAGACAAGTGATTTTTGCAAGCACCGCTAGCTGCTGCCCTGCTGGCATTAGTCCTAACTATTAGAGGGGGACACTCAGACACAGAAAGGTACATCTAGAAAGTGCTAATAAACTTGCTTAGGTTTATATTGTGAACAAGTAGCACTATTAATTATGTAGGACGCCATTAACATTCCTGCTTTAATTAGATTTAGAATTATAGAATTATATTCTGTAATTAGGTTAGATTACAGAATTCTGAAGGGTTTTTATTACACTGTTGCAATGGAAGATACAGGATTTGGAATTAGCACAATATTTAGCTGTAAAACTGCTTTATTCAACCAGTGGGCTGCCATGTGAAAGATATGAATGCTTATTTCTCAATTTTGGAAATGGTGTGGATTTTTGTTATGTCTTGTCTTTTCTTCCTTCCCCCCCCCCCCCCCCCCCCCCCGCCCCCCCCCAAAAAAAAAACCACAACTTGGTTTACTTCAGTGAAATCAACATATAATTTCATCAATGTGAGAACCAAAATGAGCAATGTAAGAGAGAGCCTACAGAAAACCTAACAAGTGGTGTGCAGATGAAAGCCAGTGGCTAGTTGAATATTTAGCATTCCTGAGTCAACATTCCATGAAAACCAAGCAGAAACTGCTTAGTGGTTTCTATTGCATTATGTATCATATATATTCAGCAGATTTTCCCCTGTATGTTTGCAAAAATCTTGTAAAAGCAATGCTTTGGAATACAAATACTTGAATATCGATATTCTGTTAAGAAGCAGATGACTTTGGTCTTAGATAAATTCAAGTACACTGGCCTTGGTGCATTTTACCTTTCATTGCTTAGATTTTCAAGGTTTATGCTTAATATAGTAATGCTGCAGTTCAGGAATTATTTATTTTGTTATCAATTGCTCATGGTAAAACTCTAAACAAAAGGAGAGAACAACTGATGATGGAGGTACATTCCAGAAATATGGGAAGAACTTGGAGGCAGCAGATTCAGACCAGTATGTCTTGTTTCTTTCAAAGTAGGGAAGAAAAGTAAATAAATTAGTCAACAGCTCTGTAATTTGCAGTGTGATTACTGACCATTTTTCGTTACCTTTAAGCATGATTTCTCTTCCATATGCAGACATTTGAAATGTTCATTTCAGTAATCCACTAACTGAACACAGTTTTTTCAGGTGTGCAAGACTTATTTTAATGTGATTGTTCTTTCTCTGTCAGAGATCCTCACAATTGACTCAGCTGGAAGACTTGGGTGTTTTCTCCTTGCTGCTCTACTCATGATTGTGTAACTGCTGCAGGAGCTGCGTCATCACAGATCAAGGTAAGAGCTCTCACTGTTTTTAATTTTAGTATTTCTACTTTAGTAATTCCTCTTTGAGTTTTGCTGCAAGCATTTTGTTAGATAAGATTATATGTAAGAGACTTATCTTTTAGGTATCATGGTAATAGAAACTCTCAAGTTTCTTTAGGCAACTGCAGATGTGGTTACATTAATGTTTTAGTTTAAATCAGTATTGCACTTTTGAAGGGCATTGCTCACTGGCCTCACTGTGGTTTGGTTCATGTTGCAGGGTGGTTGAGGAGTGCAGCCTTGATTCTCTCAGGTGAAATTAAACTGGAAGATGGACTCTAGTCAATCTAACACAGACCAACCCCTAATGGATGTGCAGGCCACGGGAATGGGGTAGGGCTAAGCTGCAGTAACTCCCTGAAATAGTGTTTCTTGGCCCAGTTGTTTTGCTCTGTAGTCTCTACCATTCTATCAGACCAGGCAGGCCTGGCCTTTTTCCTTCAATGTTTTTTATTTCCCCTAAATGAAGAGTAAATATTTAATCTCTTAAACACTTGTAAAATCAGTGAATCATTTAGAGTGTGGACCATTTTTAGTTAGAACTTTCCTCTTTAGCAAACATCATCTGGGATCATGTGAGCATTTTGGTGTTTTTCTTTGCTTAGCACATTTTCTCACAGGTTTGGTTTGCAGAATGACTAACATATTAAGTCTGTAATGTAAGGCTGCTCCCTCACTGTAGATGACCTTAAGTTGTTCTAGCTACTGAACACTCTTTCTGCTAAACTTACCTGGGGACAGGTAAGTGCAGGTAAGGTGTCTAAGTTGGATCTATTTCATCATGAAGATGGGAATCTAAGCTTTAAATTCTAATTTCAGTTCATTAGTTTTGCTTTTCATACTTTTATACAAAGTTATCAAATTTTTTCCTAGGAAAAAGCAAGAGGCACAGAGCCAGTGTCTCCCCTCTACTCCCTTGCCATTTTAGAATGCCATTCAAATTGTTCACATTGTTTGTAGAAACACTAATATTTTAAGGGAGCGTATGAGGTCTTTTTTGCTAAACAGATTCTTTTAGGCACTTTTTTGATCAGGTGCAGCTACAACCACATGTTGAAAGTACTGGCTCTATATCCAGAAGTGTGTTTTCATCATACTGTCCTTTCTTTTTCTGTCAGCATGAGGGCTGCCAGACTGATGTTATGGTTGCCATGTGGGAGAAAAGGAAAATTATTGCAAAAGGTCCTGTAATGTGCTGGTCAATAACCATGACAACAGGACCCTTCATTACAGAAGAAAATCCCCAACAAATAGCACTTCTGGAGGTAAGGATTGGTTGTTGGGAGGAAAAGTCTGTGTACCTGTACCATGGGATTGAGCGTAGTGCTGGATGTACAAAAATGCATCTAGTTCTTCTGGGTGTATTATACTGGATTTATTTATTGTTTTTTAGTAGGGGAAAAAAATTAGACAACTACCATGGATAATAAGAAACTAACAAGAGCTTCTGATGTTGAGGGAAGAAAAATACTCCAAATTCTTAAGTCTTTTAACTGAATATAATTTATTATATAAGCAAAATACTAACAACAACTGTAGTTTTGGGTCTCCGTTTCACTTCTTCCATGATGATCTATATAACAATTACATAACTGTTATGCAATAACAATTCCATCTCCTGGCAATATTAGAGTAGGAATCAGAATAAGGCATGAAACCCACAACCTGCACTCTTCAGCTATTGCTTCTGTGTACATGTATGTGGCATGAATCTTGGTTTAACGTCTGCCACATCAATATTTTATGCCTTAAATTCCCACAAGATGCAATTCTCATACACAGAACTTGTATAATACGGATATAGTAAATTTGGAGATGACTGAGATACTCTGTACACAGACTTCAGTGCATACAATTCAAAAGGGGAAGGACAGCAATGCTGAAGTAATGTGCATTTCTTGCACCACTTGGAAAAAATAACAGTTGAAGTTAATTTTAATAAAATACAAAAATATCTATCAGCAGCAGATCAACACATCTGCACTGGAAAAAAGGGGCATCTGGAGAAAGGAATCTTCAGTTAGGCAGGTTCCATTGTAACTGTATCCATTCACTACCATACAAATGCAGCTCGCTCTCGTAACATTCTGACACCAAACCGCTGCCATTCTCGCTGATATATCCACAGCTCCTGAGTTGTATCAAGACAGGCTAAAACAGCACCTCCCTTCCATGCAATTAAGCGGGGATCCATATCCTAAATTGAAAACACAGATTGTACACAATCACTGGCCTAATTTTGCATAGTTCTCCAAAGCTGTATGTTAATTTTTCCAACAGAATTCACCTCTTAGGATCTTGAGGAGGAGGATGAGAAAAGAAGTTTTTCAAAATTACCCAGGAAAAAATAATGAGATAAGAATATGGAAAGAATAAAGATGTTTCGAGAAGTCACTATTTAATATGCCTTCTAGGCATGTCACAAACATCCCGCATTCAGCAAGGTAGGCTCTGACATAAACTCCAGTTTTGATTTTACAAATTTGCCTGATTAATGCTAAGTGAAAATGGCTCTTTTAATGCCATCCTTTATTAATAATAATAATAATAAATCATAATGCAATTTCTTGCTGAGCTTTCTTCAGAGGCCAGACTGTTTCTCTGAAAATATGGCCGTTAATCAAAACTAGTGGTCAATACTAGTAACACTCTTGCTGCACCTCTAACATCCTGCCTGTAAGTGGAGAGTGCTGTGCGCTAAAAGCTCTCCTAAATCTCTTCAGATGTTCAACTAATCTGTGGTTTTGAAAGAAGCATAGAATGATAGAATAGTTAGGGTTGGAAAGGACCTTAACATCATCTAGTTCCAACCCCCCTGCCATGGGCAGGGACACCTCACTCTAATCCATGTCACCCAGGGCTCTGTCCAACCTGGCCTTGAACACCGCCAGGGCTGAAAGAGTATGTTGTTTTTTTTTAATCTTTCAAAGATTTCAACCAATCATAATTTATTAACCATTTAGTTTTCAGTAGACAGTATACCTTGGGTCTTGTGATGACTTCAACATTTTCAACTACTCTTCTGAAAGAAGGTGGCATTTTGTTTAGAATTCGGTGTTGAAGAAACTCTTGAGCTTTATGAAACATGAGTCCTCCTCCCACTACTAAGATAGAGCTGTACATCTTCTTTTTTGTATCATCAGATGCTGGAATGAATGGATATATAGAAATATAACTGGTTTTTAAAGTTAAAATGGCCTGTATTTGTATTATAAAGAATTTAGTGCAAGTCAAAACAGATAGAAAACAATGTTTGCTTTTAAAATTATTTTTCTCTTCCCTGGAGATTCAAAATATTTAGCTCAAGAAACCTCAAAGATGCAAGTACAAGGAATAGTGTAGCTACTCTAGAAATGATAAAAACTTAGGGACATACATCTTAATTCAGTGAAACCTAGGAATTACCATGAATCCACACTGACATTCGTATTTTACAGAATTGTACAAGTGGAATTCTTACCACAGCAGTCAATACTATGAAGAATGGCTTTGTCAAGGCCTAAGGCTTTGCCTTCAAACTGAGAAATAGCTGTTTTCCTGGACATGTGTGCTGTTAAAGGTTCCTCTGAATCATTTCCAGACATCATACAATCACTCTGGGAAGATCCTAGCTCTACTTCTTGTGGGTACATCCTCTCTGAAATGTCTGAGGCTTGGCCTCTCAAGTCTCCTTCAAATGCACCAGGCTTTGACATAGATTTTCTATCAGCTGTAGCTTTTGAAGACTTAAAAAAAGAGAAAACAAGGGAAACTATATGAAAGATGTAAAAATATCTTCAGCAGGTTAGAGAACAATACAAAGACTTAACTAAATGCCATCTTATTTCCCTTCATAACAGAAATGTTAAGCACTGCATTATTACCTCGTATAATTTGCATTTTAATCTGCACTGTCAAAGTAAGGTTTTATTTTGAACTCCATCAGATTATCAATGCCATAATATGAAGCCCTCAGACTCTGAAAATACACAGCTCTAATTAAAAAGTTGTCTAGACATCCATAATTCCTTAAGTAAGTTTACTCTTTCATGCTCTGATTCAGGTAACAAGCTTTGGTTTCTACGGTGAGCTAGTGAGCTCTTATTTTATTCCCCAATTAAATAATACTTAATGCAAACTAAAATGAGCATTCACACACCTGCTCCTGTTTACTTTGTGTGGCTACCAGATAATGTTCATCATGAGGATCCTCAGGGTCACCTTGTGACCTGTGTTGCAAAGTTGTCATTTTTTGTCCAACAATTCCAAAAGTTGCTGGATAAAACAGAGCCATTGGAGCCTGAAGAATGAGAGATTTCACATGTGTTTATTCCACAGTTTTACTTTTTTTTTGGCATTTACTATTAAAAAAAAACCACAAAACCACCCCCAAAAAAAAAAAACCAAAACCAAAACTTTGTTCTATTTTCCCCAAAGTTCAAAATTTAGTATACATTTTTCCATAGAGTTTTGTAAAATGCTTAACTGTCTTCAGCTTTGTGTAATTAAAACCAAAACAAACCCACAAACCAACAAATACACTTGTACATGTACACAATGCCAGATTCTGGTATTGTACAGTAAATAAGTACTCAAATGCAGTTTGTTACCAAATTAGAATATTCAATGGCGAGCTGAAGCAAAATTAGAATTCTTCGCACTTGAAAGATAAATATCTTATTTAGTTGAAGCTACAAGCATTCTAGCTAAAGCTAGTAAGGCTTGTGCACCCACTGTGCTGCATTAGGTGCCTTCATGCATATAATAATTAATTTTAAAACTATCAAGTGTATGTTAAGAACAACGCATAAATCATGTAAACTTAATAGCACTGGGCTCAAATGCTGAATATAATTCTTGTAATTAAAAAATACCTAAAAGATCACCTGTAATTTTTCATCCCCTAAACGGAACTGGTACAGCAAAGCTGGAGAATCTGGATGCCGAATTTGGAACTCATGATCTTGCAATCCAGAAATATCCTAAGGTCA